AGAGAGAGAGAGAGAGAGAGAGAGAGAGTTTCTCTCTAACTGTATATTCTCCAGCTGAATAATACGACGGATTGGATCGTGGTTGTACGACGTGGTTAGTGTGCAGTTGGTAGCCGAGCGTACAACAGAGTACAAGGGGACAGGGAATAGTGAGTGAGTGAAGAAGAGACGACGATTACTGCTACGACGACAAGCGAGGAGCGTCGTTCGTTCGAGAAAAGAAAAAGCCGCGGTGCATATATGGCCGGCCAGGTGGCAATCTCTGGAAGAAGCTAGCGGAACATACCGTGTTCGGTCGCGAGTGAGAGTGTTTTTCGCGTGTAAACGCTAGCGTGGCGGCGTCCGTGGTTCTCGCGAGACGTCAACATCTGGTAGCGTGTATCCGGCCGCGTGCACGTCCCGTTCCCCTGGTGCCCGCCCGCCTTCCTCTGCGCATCTCTTCCGCGTGCTATCCGCACGATTCCCTTCCACGGATTATTATTATTATATTCCTCGTGTGCGAGAATACCTCTACCACGCCTCCAATATATACATATATACATACGTACATACACATCGCGAAAGAACCGAATGATTCGAAGAAAAGAAGAACCGACGTCTCCTCTTCTCCGTGAAGAACGAAAGAGCCGTGCATCACCACGCGTGTAATATAACGTATATTTCCCACTTTTTTTCCCCCTCCCAAAGAGGTGGTGGAGGAAACAACGCTGGAACCCGTTGTCCAGGATGCCGTGGACGGGCGCAGGAACGTCCTCGAGCAACGTTTTGTGACCGAATCCTCGACCGATAACCTCGCGCCAACCAGTCAGCTGTCCCAGGATTATTCCCAGGTTATCCCCCAGCCTGGTGTGGACGTCCATCTTCTATTCGCAGAGGTTAGTCACTCTCCGCTTCGTTCCGGTATAGTACACACTACTCGTGCACGCCTGTGTGCGCGTGCACGCGCGCAACCGTGTCGCTCGCGCACGTACACACCTCACGTACACTACTCCCCGTCCGTGTGGGCAGACGCGCGCGTCTACGGGTGGAACGTACGCGCGTGCACGGTATACGTATAGACGTGTGCACGCGTGTACGTGCGGTGGTCTGACCGCGTGGAGTACGAGCGGTGCAACGATCTGCGTGTGATAATGTGTGCGTGTGTGGATGAGTGTGTGTGTGTGTGTGTGTGAGCGCTCGTCCGTGTTGCGAAAGCGCTGTTGCGATTTTTCAGTGGAACAGTTGTTTCGAGTGGACAAGTTTTCGCCAAGGGAAGAAGAGGGAGGGAGCTCGAATGTGCTCGCGAAAGCGCGTAGGAAAGTGAGAATTTTCGCGCGCGTGGGAGACCTCTTGGTTGCAATTTTCGTTTCGGATAAAAAATGGGAGGAGAGGTTGATGAATTTAGTAGGGGATGATGAGTAAAGGGCGTGAAGAAGAAGTTGAGAGGCAATCTGGGAGAGATTTTTATTTATGGAAAAAGAAAAAAATGGACGTGGTGAAAATTGATTTGAAAAGTTCAGAGTTCAGAGGCACGTTCGGGTTGAAGACACGTTTTGAAGATCGTTTGCATGCTAATGAGAGAAGTGATATTGAAGTGTCTTTGTTGCTCGAACGACGTGAGCAGCAGTTGAAGGTTTTACGTTTTGCAGGATGTTCGGGAATAGAAGTTGGAGATTTCTGAGAAACGTGTCGTTGTGTATTTTATTCGTACGAAAATTGGAACGAGAAATTTGAACGATGAAGTATTTTTGTTCGTAAAATTATACGATTTTACCATCGGTTTTAAATCGATAATTTCATTCGATTCACTGCCATTTTCCTTCTTGAATCACACGTTTTCGATTCCAACGGCGACTTTTTTGTTCACATTTTATAATTTTGTTCACATCCCGATGAGCAATATATTAGTCTAAAATCATCGATAACTTTAGACACAACAATGTTTTGAATTCTACGAGAAGTGATTCCGCTTGCCGAGACAGAGAAATACTTTGAGAGTTGATTTCTTGGTTATCTTCGTATTGTATTGTACGTGTTTGAAATACGAAATTCGTTCCTTCAACTTCCTAGATTAATTAGATATTCAACGAGTTGCTACGCTGATGGCTAGACACGCCGTTATTTCTCGTCTCTGGTTTTTCGATTCATCTTCTGGAACAACCTTACTGCATTTTCTTAAATAAATTTTTGTTTCAAACTGTGCATATTTCGACTCACATCGATCGAAAATTTGATTCATTGCATGTATATGTACCCTACACCAATATATATATGCCTTGGTGAGAAATATTTAAATTCTTCTATGCATTTTATTGCATTTATTTTTTAATCGAAAGATTTGAATAAAAATCGAAATTATAGAAAACGAGGGAAAAGCACAAATACGGTCGAAGGAATTCTTAAATCTTTCGTGTGGCAGCTAACGATCAATTAAAACGCGAGTTTAGCATTGGAGCACCTGCCATGTTTTGGCACAGCTCGCAATTAAAGAGCTCGTAACTTGAAATATGGCGCGTAAACGTTTGCAACATATTTCAAACAACTACTATAGCGTGTAAATATTACACGCACACGTAGGTATACAAACAATCAAAAGTATCCAGACGTTTGTTTATTTCTACGTCATCTTGTTTGCAAAATCAAAGATAATGTAATTTGCAAAACGTTTGGTTGCTTGTTGCATTACAAAGGAACAAATATAGTGATAGAATTAATCTTCTCATTCCTAGCTAACCTCAGCTTTAATCGTCTGATAAATTAAACGAAACGACACGAATTTTGCCAAGATATAAGAGAAACAATAAATAATAAATTCCGCTAATTATATCTCTTCACGAAGACGAAATAAATGATCTTTAAAATATGAAAACCTATCGAACGTCTTTTAATATGTTTGGAAGAATCGAAAGCATGGTATACGAGTTTCATCAAGAAAACTCGAGTAACATTTTGAGAATGCTTTCCAATCCCTCCTAACCTAAATACTTTTTCACCTACGTGAACGAATTCAAACACTTAACTCTTTCCTACCACTTTTTAAAATTTCACACCCCACACTCCGCACTTTTATTTTACAAATTTTTCCTCCCTCCGTGATTTCCTTCAATCTTCAATCTCCCCTCACACGACACCTGATAAACGATTTAATAAGATTAATCGGCAGAAACGAAATTAACCATTGATTCTCCATTCGAATCGATCTATTCCCATTGGGGAGGGAGGAGAAACGCGCCTCGGGTGTTATATTCGCATCCAGAATTATGCAATGACAGCGTGAAATTAGATCCCCGCCTCCTTAAGTGAACGCAACCGCACAACACCTTTGTTCCTCGGGGGTCCGGCGCGAGGTTGTTGGTCATCGACTTTATTTCCCTCCTCCTCCTCCTCCGTTCCCTCTGACCCGAAACAGATCTACGATAACGTAATAGTTGGAACGATTGTTTCCATCGTGGCGTTCGAGAATCCGGTTCGATGCAGCGGAACGCTTGCTTTCGCATCCAGAGATTACCAGACAGAGAATATCGTTTTATCGTACGAACGATTTTATTTTTATCCGTCAATCCTCGTCACATCTCTCGCCCATCGTGCTCAACGGCTCTATTATCGCTGTCTGTTATTTCGATTACACTCGTGTTTAATTTTTTACCAATTTCTTTTCTTTTTTTTTTTTTTTTTTTCGAAAAATTGTTCCAGAAGGGAACAAAGAACGTTCCAATTATTATTATTCCCTTCGTCCCTTCTCACGCGTTTAATCCACGCTTCGTAAAGAGCGTGATCGCGTGACGCGATTCTGCTCTCTCTGTGACGGGATCTCACAGTTTGATTGATTTAGACGATTTAGATTCTCAAAATGTAGAAGGGGATGGATTCGCGGCGTTACTTCATTTCTCCTCGTTTCACGAGAGAGAAGAGAGAGAGAGGAGGGAGGGAGAGATAAACAGAGACGGGAAATATCGGTATAACGAGCGGCCGATTGGATTTTTACGCTTTTTACGCGGCGTTTCGTGTCCGTTTCTCGCCGCGACACTCGAATACCGGATAAACGCTCGTCGACTCATCGCAAGAAAACGCCAGGATCTCTCTTTTTCGATTCTCTCTACTCCTCGGTTCTAAGTGGACAACAAGCGGGCAGGGGAGGGGAGGGGGGGGCGAGGAGGAGGGGGAAAGGAGGGGGGAATTCTCTTTCGTCTCCTTAAGAGTCTGTTTCCAAGAGTCTCGCAGGTGTGGAAGAATCGGTTCATATTTACCAACGAGACTATTAACGTTAATTCCTCGCTTTTATTTTTATTCCATTTGAATCTCGTATTTTACAATTTTCTCTGATAGAATCTAGATATCTAGATAGAAATATATATATATAGGAGGTATATGGAATTGGGTTGATGATGATATTGTTCCACTTCCTTTTTTTTTTTATTTTATTTCTTGACACATATCGTTATATAGAGAGGAGAAGGTAACGTATAAAGATAGTCGAAAAATTGTTGGGTTTGAATCAGGAGAAAAATGAAATTGGGTTAACGTCGATATCACCGATATTTCACTCCTTTTTGCCTATTTTCATTGGCGCGTTTATAAAGGTAAAAGAATGAGATTCCTTACTCGTGTATTGTGAAAATTAAGTTAACGCGCATATTGTTTTATTCCCTGTTTATTTCTGCAAATATTTATCGAAGTATCGTTAATAAAAATAAAGATTTATGGCCAGGTGAAAGTTATGATTTACGCAGTTATTCATAGATACATTTATCAAGTCAATTTTAGGATTTACAATTTCTTTTTCCAAGTCCCGGAATAACATATCGGGGATACAACTTCGTAATTAGACGTATTATATAAAATATAATTGATACGGCAGTGTAAATAATAATAAAATGATTCTTGCGTTTTTTTTTCTTTTTAGATTTTCTTATAATTCTTTTTTCTCTTCTTCTTCTTCTTCTTCTTCTTCTTCTTATTTTCTTTAGAATATAGAATAATCAAAATACATTTTTACACGTGTCGGTGAAAGAAACACAGAGAAAATGTGTGTCAGATTTGAAAACAGAATTAGTTAATATCCATACTTTCATATTCGTATGGAGTTTAAAGAGAGAGAGAAAGAGAGAGAGAAAAAAGAAAAAAGAAAAACATTAAATTATCCACTATCTATTATACTTACTTTACTGAAAATGATTACCTTAGATTTCGAGGAATGATATTAGGAATCCAAGATGTTATTTCAACGACGTTTGCAACGGAGAAAATGATAAAACAGTCAGAAATGATCAGAACGATCATAATTTTCTCGACACGGAATACCTGTCCATCCACGATTCTCGCATTAACCCTTCCCTTCGAAAGTGGAAAGTGGTAGAAAAGAATATACGAAACAAAGGAACGACTTTATTACAAAAAAAAAAAAAAATTCATTTTCCCCGTTTAAAAATCGCCTCGAAATACCATAAGTTACATAAAATATTCCATCCCGAATCGAAAACTTCGAATCGAGGAGTGTTGTGCGTGTCGATTGTGTGTCGACTTCGAAGATTCCAAGAATGTTATCCAAGTCGAATTATTCTCTTGTAACGCGCAAGTCCACTCTTACATCCCGGATTTCTCTCGGGCCGGCTCGCTTCAAAAGCGACAATACGTTATGCAAATGAGGGTATGTCAGCGAGATTCTCCCTTCGAGATTTGCATTAAGCTCGCATCCAACGTCGCTAAGCACTTTCACCCGTTGAGCTACGAGCATCGAAACAGTGTTGCATCGAAATCTGATCGATCCAGGAAGGATCGAATTTTTTCTTTCTTTCTTTCTTTCCTTTTCTTCGATATCGAGATTTAATTAATTTTAATTCGTTCCAATTATCGACGTTGCTCTCTCCGCGAATTATCACCTCAATTTTTTATCGAA